CTACTAGGGGTCTCGTGCACACACACACTTGAACTTTTCTTTGTGAAAATCTTTTATCACTCCATTTTTTTGAAATACTTTCAAATATTTGCAAAAAACTTTCTTGAACAAAAATAAGTGATCATTATTCTCATCATAGTAGTGTGAATGGTAAAAATTCCCACAGTAGTAGGAAGAGTACTAAGGAAGAACTTAAAGAACCAAAAGAATATATTAGGAGAAAGGATGAGGAAAATGAAAAAAATAATGAAGCTATAATAGAGTTATTGGCTAAACTTGTGGTGAAAGATGACACAAAGATAAAAGTGGTGAGGGACCTTCTAGGTTAACTAAAGGTAAGGGGGTTGAAAAAGCCAAGAGTAAATACGAGGAAGAAAAACCTAAGAGCCAACCTAGTTTCACCCACATCACTCAAAGTGAAGGATTTTATGGTAGTCATCATTATGATGATAATTATGATGATTATTATCAAAGACCCCTTAGGGAACAAAGGCATGGGCATGAACAAGGAGAACCTAAGGTTAACCTTCCCCACTTCTATGGTAGAGACAATAAAGAAGAATATTTAGATTGGGAGATGAAGGTGGAACAACTTTTCACTTACCACAAAGTGAGTGAAGAGAAAAAGGTTCCTATGGCTACCTTGAGCTTTCAAAAGAATGCTATGTATTGGTGGATCTCTTTAGAAAGTGAGAAAAGATTTAGAGATGACCATTCAATTCAATATTAGAATAAGCTTAAAAACGCCTTAAGGAGAAGGCATATACCTTCATACTCTGCTAGAGAGTTAATGGATAAGCTCCAAAGACTCCAACAAAAAGACCTTATTGTAGAAGAGTATAAACAAACCATAAAGCTCTATATGATAAGGGAAGGCATTAGAGAGGAAGAAAGAACCACTATTTCTAGGTTCCAATGTGGAATTAATCTTGAGATTAGAGATAGGGTTGATATTTTACCCTATAGAGATTTAAACGAACTAATCCAACTTTCCATTAGGGTAGAACAACAAATAAAAAGAAAAACTTCTCACAAGAAGGAATTCTCTACCTTTTTACACCCTAACAACCTTAAGGAAGATGAGTACTCTTCCATGAGTCACCCTAAAGGAGAACCATCCATAGAAAAAGAAAAGAAAAGTCTTCTCATAAGGTAGAAACCCCTATTTCTAAGACTAGCAATGTAAAGTGTTTTAAGTGTCTTAGGAGAGGCCACATTGCTTCTCAATGTCCTACTAAAAAAACCATGATCATAAGGGGCATAAACACTTATAGTAGCCAAAAGGAGGTTACTTCCTCCTCATCCACCTCTAGTAGTAATGAAGAAGAAGAAGAAGAAAAAGAATAAGGGGGTAAATACTAGTGTTGAAAAACTTTATCCTCACAATGGTGATCTTTTAATAGATAAAAGGCTTCTTGGAAGCCAACCATGCCCTACTATCCTATCACAAAGAGAGAACATTTTTTAGACAAAATGTTTAGTTTCCAAAAGACCTTATTCTCACATTGTTGATAGTAGTTCGTGTTCTAATTGTTGTAGCACAAGGTTGGTCAACAGGATAACCCTCACTACCATTCATCATCCTCACCCTTATAAACTTCATTGGCTTAATGAAGGTGAGGAATTGGAAGTGAACTAACAAGTGGAAGTAAAGTTCTCTATTGGGGATTATAAAGATAAAGTTTTATGTGATGTAGTCCTTATGGAAGCTTACCATATTTTGCTTGGTAGGCCATGACAATTTGACAAGTATACTATACATGATAGCCATACCAACAAAGTAACCTTCACTCATAAAGAAAAGGAATTTGTTTTCCATCCTTTAACACCTTTACAAGTGTTTGAGGACCAAAAACATATGAAAAAGAAAAGAAGATATTACTCTTAGAGAAGAGTAAGGAGGATAATGTCTCCTCCAAAAATCTTGAGATTAGGGAAAGTCACTTTTGTATTAAAAATGATTGCAAAAAGAATTTTCTTCTTCACAAAGGTTTTAGCTCTTCCTCTATTGTTGCCATGGACTTAGAGGTTAAGATCCAAAACCAAAATATTTTTGAAAGGAAAGGATCTCAAGTTCTTAGTCTAGTAAAAAAGAAGTGGATTTCAACTAGTTCAACTTTTTATATAACTACTTTAGTGGTGCCTAAAGTAAACAACCATCGTTTGATTATGAATCCTTCTACTTTATTTGTTCTAATAAAGCATCCAACCTTTGATTTATATTGTTTATTAGATATATCTCATGGTGTCTTATTTTCTATTTTTGATCTTAAAGGAAGTTCAAACTTTTTTGAACTTAACTTTACTTCCTTTCAAGACAAAATTAGATTATATGAGCCTTTTAGACTCTTCATTACACCCTCTTCCATTTTGTATCTAACAAATAATATGATCAAGGGTTGTCTAGGGAGTTTGCTTTTTATGTTCACTTTGTTTTCTTGTAAGTGCCTAGGTTACTACATAAGGTACCGCAAGTAAGATACCATAGTTTGTAGGAGTACTTCCTTAGTTTGCTATAGTTTTAGTACCTTCACATTTTTATGGTTTAGTTTTACATATAGACTCCACCATAGAGAGAATCCTATCCTTATTCTTAGAGAGCCTATCCTTCCTAATCTAGGGAACCTTGTTAGAATTATAGAAGGAATTCTTCATACAACGCACTTTCCATACATATTACATGAATATATCATTTCTAATGCTTGGTTTCCTATTTGTCTTGTAGGTGATGTTGTCTATGTGGAAGAACCACTTAATTTGAGGACAAATCCTTTTAAAGAGGGAGGGGATGATGAAAACCTACTTCTCAAGAATCCCTTTGGAAGAGATAAGTCTAAGAAGAATGAATGTTGATAAAGTTGGTTTTAAGAATTGTAGGGTAATTACCTTTATTTTGTAAGGTACCCTACTTTTGGACACTTATCCTACCTTAAAGGACTCCTATTGTTGTTATACATTTTTCTTACTTGTAATTCATTTTAGTAGTGATTGTATTAAGATATTGTTAGCCTTGTATTTTAGGTCAAATAATGTAGGTAATTTTGTCCTTGTATTACTTGAGGGTGTAATTAGTAAATTAAGGGAAATGTAACTAGAAAAGTCTTGTTAGACTTATTTGGGCTTGGATGACCTAAATCTTTTTTTATGGCCCATAGTTTTGGATGTCGACTTGCTCATGCAAGTGATTTGGATGTCCAAACCATGCCAAACTTGCCATCTAAGTTACAAATTAAGTCACATGGCTTTGATAATGACATCTCAACAACTTGTTAAAAGTAATCATTAGTCTAGTAGTTGTAATGATTAGGTTAGGTAGTTGGAGTTAACTTAAACTAACCTAGGTTATTCTTAAACTAAGATTAACTTAGATTGATCCATAAGCATTTAGACAAATAACTAGACTTGTAGATATTTAACTAGAGTTAGTTAGCATAAGTACAAGATAGTTAACCATAGTTACACTTAACCATGGTTAGTCTAGCTTGTATCATAAGCCTCCTAAACTTTATATATTGTAGTTTTGACCCGTTTTGTACTAGTTTTTGAGTAATATACATGATTTGGATGAAATTTCACTCCAAATTCTCTCCTAAAGCTTGTTTCTCTCTTTGAAATTCTTCCTTTTCTCTTATCCTCTCTTGAGTGTGGTGAGAATTTGAAGAGACTTATCACTCTTCAAGAGTGCGACATCACCTAAGGGAGATCATACCTTGACATATAATATCAATGGAAACCATTGAAAGAGTCCAAAAAGTTAAAGATCCATCCAAGAAACTTTAAGGAGAAACTAAATCAATCAAGTCTCTCCTAAGGTTTATATTACAAGTCCTCGACTTTGGGACCTATCTAGTACATTACATATTTTCTATCAAATCAATTCTCACTTATTCTCTTCCATTTCCTTCTATTCCTTCCCTCCCCAAACAAAATGTTAGAAAATCTTTATAAGGATGAATAATGTGTTTTGAATATCGTTTAAAATATTCTTAACAAAATTTTGTAAATGAATGGAGAAACAACTCTTTTGAGTCATTGAAGCTAACTAGAGTTATACTCATAGTGCATTGTGAAGACAATCTATATAGCAAGAAATTATTGTTCGATATATTGTGTGAGAAAATATTTTGGGTTAGCGACAATCACAATAATATTAATATCTAGCCCAGTCAATTAAGGATACCCAATGTAAGAAAGAAATCAACTCCTATATATGAAACATGAATAACTATCTTGCACAAAAGATATTAGAGATTCTTTCAACTTTATATGTAATTCAATTTTTATTTATTATAATTATTTATGAATTAAATTTTAACATTTATAAAATAAATTTTCAATAAATAAAAATAATCTTGAATTAAAAAAGTTCATTCAAAAATAAGAAAATTACATTATGATTAACATTCAATATGAATGAAAGCAATATACATCAATGAGAAGGTATTTCAATAAAATGAGTATAATATTATTTTTTTAAAGGCTCTTAAGCCAATTCCTGGAAAGAGCAAACTTGTATGGCATCATGTTTTCAGAAAAGAAGATACAGTTAGCACAACAGGAAATTGACTTCCTGGGGATGAAATTCTCTCAAGGAAATTACCAGTCTCAACCTCATATTGCTGAAGAGTTACTCAATTTCCCTGAAGAAAATCTATCTGTTAAACAAATTCAACAATTCCTTGGAATCATAAACTACACCAGCTCGTTCTTGCATTCTGTCAAATTAATCATAGGCCTCTGAGGCTCTCTGCCATATTGTACTATAATGTAAATTATTTATCATAAATTTAAAATAAAATTTATACATTTAAATATAATATTTATTTTTATATATAACATTTAAAATTTAAGTTATAAATAACAAATATTTAACTTATATATCATATAGAGTAAAATTTTAGTTATTTTAAAATAAAAACAATAAATTATATTTAGGTAGTATTTAATTCTTAAGTTTGAAACACATGAATCTTCATGGCCATGAAAAGATAAATAAAATATTAAGTTAAATTTGCTATATTCCCCATCTAAGCAGTAGTTGGAGTACAACTATCTACGACATCATCTACAAACACCAAATAAAACTTCGGTGCCTTTCTCTCTTTCTATCGATTCTCCAAACAAACCCTACCGTTTGGGTCTTCCAAAATATAATCATCGTTATGGGTTCCGAAGGATCCAGCGTCGTCGGTGAGCATTCAACGCCTATCGTTTTCCATACCAATTCATCAAATTTTCAATTCTTAAATTGCTTCGGAGTTTTTTTTTTTTTTTTTTTGCCGTTTTTAATTTTGTGATCTTGTGTTTCTCTGAATGAGGAGCCTTTGTGTTTGTTCTTGTCATAATCTACTGTTTATAACTGTGTTTTTTTTTTTGTTGGGTTTCAATTTTTAGATTTTTAAGTTCTAAATTGGGTGCCTGGGTTTGTTTGAGCGTTGCAAATGGGTTATGATTAGTGAATTATAAATGACTTTTGGTTTTTGAGTTGTGGCTTCAATTGGTTTTGGATTTATTGTTGTGTTGGTGGGAGAGGGGATGGTTGGTTCCTTTGCTCCATTTTTCTCTCCGCAAAAAGATTACCAATTGCGAAAAAAACTAATGATAAAATAATTGAAACAAGGAGAAAATAGGATTTTACTTTAAGATTTTGTAATTGGTCAGATGGTTGTCTGTTATTGTGTGTCTGCTATGTATATATAATGCTTGCTGCATGTGGCAATCGAGTTTCTAATTTTCTATAGACAGTCCATGCAGGGTTATAAGTTGCAATTTCATTGCGAATTGCAAATCTGTAATCCTTGATATTGCGGCTGACTCTGAGGTGGCTGCAATAGAAATGTGGAGACCACAAATACCTTAATGTTGCAGCTGAAATTTAGGTTGTGAACTGCAATTTGATAAAAGCTAATTTAATAGAAAGATTTTTGTTACATTGTTTCTTATCCTCAAAATTTGGCTACCTATCTGTTATGTAAATATGAATAGGAAAAGAATGTTAGTTAGTTAGTTAGTCGGCTACTGTTAATTAGGATTTATGGCTGTTGGGTAGCTGCCTATAAATAAATAAAGCATGGATTTTGTACATTTTAGAGAGACTGAATGATAATAAAGAAGTGCAGTTCACATATTCTCTGATCTCTGTCTCTGTCTCTGTCTCTCTCTCTTTCTCATCTCTGTTGTTATTCTTCTCTCTTTCGTTCTTTCTTTCTTTCTCTCTTTCCCACTTAAATTCTTTATCACCATCACAGCCTAAACCCCTATGCTGCTATCTGTTTACAAACTGTTTTTTGTGAAATTATAGATATAGTAATATACTTGGGCTATATTTCTTCAACTTACTGGACAAATCTGAACTATGCTGCAGTGGTACAATGATTATGCCTTCCATGTTTTATTTGTTTCTTAATTCTACTATATTCCTAGTCATATAGTGTTATGGAGTTAGCTTATATATTATATTATCTTAGATTTATGACATTATACTTGTATGCACTGCTTGTCACTGACAAGTTTAATCATTAATATTTGTTAAGAACCTAGAAAGTATTAGTTATTACTGATATTGTGTCATACTCTTTCAAAACTAGCTTATTACATACATACTAGGTTTAGTTCTATATAGTTCAATTCACAGGCTATGGTAGCCTTCCAATAATACTTTTTTGTTATTGGACAGAAGCTTTGTAGTGATAAGATCTCATTCTTTTGGTAGATTGTGTTGAGTGGAAATTAATAAATCTCAGATCATTAATAACTCTTCTCTGATAAAATATCATATTTCCATTCAGAATATTTATTTTTGGAAATAGAGAAGGTTGATACTGCACTAGACCTTCTATTAGGAAGGTGTACATGAGGAAAAGTGATAACAGTTGCACTGATTGTATATAACTTCATTGGTAGCCAATTTCTACTGATTGGGGGGATATACTATTTGACCTATTCCTGGTGTTTCATTGTCTTCAATTAACATTTGCAAGTGCCTACAAATTTCATACTTCCACAAATTGCTCCTATTTTATGAAATTTTCTCAAGAAAAAACTGTTTCAAAAATGTTTGGTATTTTTTTATATGTTTTACAGTGAAGGATATATCTAAGAAGGTATTTTATCCAAAATGATAAAGCTTTATCTTGACACATCTGCTTGATCCTGTGAAAGTTGTTACTTTATATTTTCTCATAACTCTTCCCTGCATTTTTTGCACTAGTCACACTCTTTTCCTAGGATATTATTAGCTTTTGGGACAGCTCAATTCTCATTTACCAGTAATTGTAAATATATTATGCATATTATAAATGCATAGTGACCTTTAGCATTCTATAATAATGATTATTGAACTTAGAGGATGATGTGTACTAATGACTTATTGCTTGCTACTTAATCATTGCAAATGTAAGTTGTGACTAGCTTTCTATTGGTTTTTGAATTATGGTTGTTTCATATGGGTTTATATTACTGACTGGGCAGCTTTGCTACATACAGAGTCTTCACAAATATTTTTATTGTATCTTGTTTTCTGTTTTGGAGAATATATCTTACCCTCACTCAAGTTGTATTTTTTTCTTTAATCTCTCTTATTCATTATTTATTTATTTATTTCTAATAAAGAATGTAATTTATCAATGTCTGCCTTCATCAGTCATTTTAACTATTTCATTTAAACAGTTCTTGAAGGCTTTAATAGAACATAGATTTGAAATTTAATCCTAAATTGTTTGGTTTCTGCAGTTCCTAGGAATTTCAGATTATTGGAAGAGCTTGAGAGAGGTGAGAAGGGTATTGGGGATGGAACTGTTAGCTATGGAATGGATGATGCTGACGATATATACATGCAGTCTTGGACTGGGACTATCATCGGTCCCCCTGGTGTAAGCTATTCTCTGCTTTTCTGAAACAATAACTTTTTCTTTTATTAGTTATTTTTGTCACTTAAGGACCTCCAGCTAACATCCCTATCTGCTTCTATAGCAAAGTAAATATTTTGAATTTCAGTAGGAGTTGTTTAATATTTATTTCTTTCAGTAATATGCTAGATTAATAATCGGTAAAGTGGTATTCAAGTTCTTTAGACATGTGAAACTGACATATATATGGATTGAAATGTTGGATGATAAGTTTTATATAAAGTTTCCACTATTATAAATGATAGTAATTTTATTAGCTCAAATATTTAGATATTGTATTCAAACTAACTCCAGGTTTAGTTGACTGATGGGGTAGTACTCAATAGTCATATTCATGGTTGTCAATCTCGAGTTACAACTCGTAATATCGTCCGAGATTACGAGTTTATTGAAGCAAAACGGGACAACTCGGAGGTAAACTTGTTTTTGAGTAAACTCGAGTAATCTCGCATGAAATCGCGAGTTTACAATGAGATCCGCGAGTTTACCAAACCCTGAAACCCAAAGGGTAGAAACCCTCGTTGTTCATTCTTTTCTTCTATCCTTCGCACTTTGTCTACTTCTCCTCCACACGTCTTTCTCCTTCGCACCGCTGCTCCTTCGAGCGTCGTTTGGATTCGCACCGTGCTGCTGCTCCTCTATGCGTCATTCCGATCTGTGCGCATCCGCGCCATGCTGCTGCTCCTCCGTGTGTCGTTCTGATCCGTGCCACATCGTGCCTCCTCTGCGCATCGTCCCGATCCGCGCCGCTCGCGTCGTTCCTCCTCTGCACGTCGTTCTCCGAGAGTCGCACTCACTCGCTGTCGATGCTCGCAGTCGCACTCGTCATTCTCCGCGCAAATGTTAAGTCAAGTAACATTAGCCACTGCGTTCTTTCTCCTTTTTTATTCTCTATCTAATATATTTTTATTCTCTATTTAATATATTAGTCTTTTCTTAATTTTTTAGTTGCTGTCATTTTATTTTTTATTTGCTGTCATTTTATTTTTTATTTGCTGCAATTTATTATTTTGCTTTAATACAAAGTTAAATGGTAGTTATTATGTTATTTTTAAGTATTTTTAACATATTTTTTATACTAAGTAAACTCATACGAGTTTACGATACAAGTTTACGGAGCCTCCACGAGATTACGTAAACTTTCGATATTAACACCCTTGGTCATATTGCATTTTCCATTTCGTACAAAATTTTGGAGGGCTGCTATTTTTAGTCACTAGAGTGGACATACCTATGTTTGAATAAAAGTTGGATTGGTGATTGGTCATTGGACCTAAAATAAGAATTTCAAGGTGTTAGGGATGCTGGTTGAACCAAGATTTTTATACATATGACAACAACAGAAGTCTTTTCCCATTAAGTGAAGTTTTCTACATGAATCATATCACACCATTAGATTCGGCTATAAATCTAGTGCATAGCAAGGCCATTTAGAGCTATTTTCTTTTCAGTGGTTTCAGTGGTTTTGCTTAGACTCCTTTTACCTATAATTTTTGGGTCATCTTCCATTATATGAACTCTTCTTTTTGAGTGAGATTTTATCATATGAACAGGTCAAGGCCCATAATGACTAGGGTTTATCAAAAGAGAGTTAGAAGATAAGTAGAGGATAATGCCCTCTAGAGTCTATTACTGTAGTATTTGTAATTCTGTTACTTACAATTCTGCTAAGTTGTTAGTGATAACAAATAGAAATAAGGAATGGGAAGAACATCACTATTGTTGTATTGTAAGGGATCTCATGGGAAATTTCTGGTCTCTTGAATACTCAGTTGCATCCCTTTCACAGGGGACCTATACAGGCCAATGTTGGGAAGTTCTTGATTCAATCACATTTTTCTTTCTATCTATTTCTATCATTTTACCATCTTTTTTCTCAGCAAGTGCTACTCAAATTTCCTCTCTTTCATTCTGATTTTATGTCATTTTACGGGTCCATTAATCCTGCAACATCCTCATCTATGATATACTTTGTTTTTGTTTGATCTTTACTGCCCACCATTTAGTCAGTACCCATTTAGTCAATACCATAAAGCATAGTAGGTCTTATGGCTGTATCACCTGTATGGTTAAGTTTTTCTTTCAGCTTGAGAAGCACCTTTCCATCACAAATAGCACCTCCATTTCATTTTCCCTGCTTGAAATCCTATAATTTTCATATATACATGTATTAAAATACTCTTGTACCGATGTTAAATATTCTTATTTACAGAAGTTTAGGGGGGTCTCTTGCTGCACCAGAAGTGCTTTCAAGTTTAAAATGAGATTGTTCCTTTTCTCCCTAAGCTTCTTTGCTCTTTTTCTGTTTTGGCCTTTTGGTTTTTATATGATTGAGAATCATGAGGCTTCTCTCCAGTTTTTAATGGTTGCAAACCTTTCTGCAAGGTGATGATAGGATGCATTGGTTCAATCACAAAATCAAAAGTAACAAAAACTATTGGACTATTGGAGGAATACTATAAATGCACCAAGATTTTGGGTGTCTCTTAAAATCTGAATTAGCAAAACCCTTGAAGCAGCCATGTGCAGAACATGACATGAATAATTCTCCTCATTTAAATGTGGGAAAGCAAGGAGGAGAAGCCCTTTTAAAGATGCAAGTGTTTCTTTCCAATCACATGCACCATAGAATCACCAAAATTGAACTTTTATAGGAAGCCTTTGGGGCTGCTTGGTTTAGGAAAATATTTTTCTGTTTTCATTTTATGCTTTAAATTTTAATTAAAAATATGTCATCTTATTTTCAACTTATGCCTTTTCAAAGATTTGTATCAGAAATATTAAAAACAACTTTTTTCCTTTACAAAATGTTGAAAATAGGAACAATGAAAATAAAATGACATTTTTGTAAATAAAACTGAAAGAAGAAAACATTTGTCAAACCAAATGGCCCCTTAGTCTCCTTTTTATGGCAACTTTTGTATTATACCATAAAAAAAAATGCTCCAGACTCCAGAATAGTGGGACTCACCCATTGTTCTAACATTATAATAAAGCTTGTTCCAAAATAGAAGCTTTACAAATCAAGAATAAATGCCTAATTGCTTCTGGACTAGACTTGGATATAAGTATGACAAACATGTCAGTTGTGAGGTAAGTTTTTCAAATTTGCATGAAGTCATTTAGACATTTGTATGAATCATGTTTAAGTACTTGCTTCTAAACAAATACTTACACAAAAGTGTGCTTCGGATTTCCAAATGGGTTGCGTATCTAGAGTAGTTAAGTTCTTCAAATTTGTATCAAGTTGTTTGTACTAATTTTGTTAACTTGTTTAAGTAGTTTAAGTATTTCCATCAAAACAAAAAGACTTGACCTGAGAGGGTGCTTTGGATTTCAAAATTAGTTCATTTAGGAGAAAGTGTTGTAAGGATAGGAGTTTAAGGAACTAAAAGAGGAAAATTTTGCAGGAGCTAAACACTAGAAAATCCAAGGTCCAAAATTGTTCGAGTAGTCTCAAGTAAAACCATAAGGGGTTTGAGTTTTCTTGTTTGTTTGACATTCAAATCCCAAGCAAGGTATGAAACAGAAACTTTGCCACATCTGATCTGCCACAGGGAGGTATTTCGGAGGAATTGTCGGATTCACTAGATAATGATTTAAATGTTGACCTTTGATTACAGGCTCCATTTGCTGACACCAGAAGATTATTCTTGGTGTCAAATTTCTTGGAGATGGAGTGAGAAAAAGTAACAGTAGCTGCCAGAGAGAAGGATGAGACAGGTGGAGCACGAATCAATGGTGGTGGAAGAGGAGGATAAGAATTTTGAGCAGAAGCCATGAGATTGGTTTAGCAATCGAACCCTGCTCTGGATACCATATTACAGTTGAAAGAAAATGAAAAATGATTTGTATTTGATTCCGGTAAAATGAAATTGTTTGCAAAAGTTGATTTAGTTAGCTATTTATAGATGTACAACTAAGAAACAGAAACCTAACTAGCTATAATTAGTTAGTGTAACAGCTGTCAGTGTCACCTAACATAAAGTTACAGTACTACTCAAGTAAAACATACTCTAATAGAAACCAATGATGCAACTGTGCACCATGATTTTTCCTACAATGGGGTTTTCAATGCTATCCAAATGCGCTAAATCAGTGTCATTGTATTTAGCCCTACAATAATCCTACCAACTAACACAATGATCTCTTTGTTGTTTGCCAACACCTGACTAGAGAAGTCCCTTGTGATTTTTCTATTCACACAATTGATTTTCAAAACTTCAAATATTACCCCAACAGACAGAACTACTGTGCAACGTGATACTTCTTTCCACAATCAGGTTTTCAATGATATCCAAATAGACTAAATCTGTGATATTTTTCCTAGTACAACAATCCTACTGGTTACCACAATGGTCTATTATCTATTTTCCCTCACCTGACAGAGTAATTCCCATATGACTTTCTTTGATTTTTGGGCCACTTCCATTCGGCAACATGCAAATGACACTAGTGGGGGATTCTAGCTTAACAGATTGGGATAAGGTTTGTTTAACCACCTAAGTAAAAGAACCCTTCCAGCTAACCTAAAAGGATATGAATAACAAGATCCAATAAAGAAGCTCAAGAGTTGCCACCTATAGGAACCCCCAGGAAGTGAAGGATACTGCAGAACGTGGCATCCGGTCACAACCATCATATAGGTAGAAAATACTAGTTATCAACATTTACACTTGCCTGGCCACTATGAACAAAATGAACCTCTCAATGTCATAGTACATAAGAATAGAAAGTATTCATTAAATTATTGATATCCTCTGGTAGAAACATTAAGGGGAAAATGTTTTTTTAGTAATATACTTTTAGTCAAATTTGGTCAAACTCTTAATTTTTTGGGGTTTAGTACACCATTGTAATTAGGGCCTTTGGCTCCTAGTGGTACGCTAAGAAATCCCCATGAGCTTCAGTCCTTTGGACCAGCTATGGGACTAATTCTTGGTCAGGGATTAGTCACATTTAAAGCTCCTTGCCCTCCTCAATAGTGTATTCTGCAGGGATTGAACCTAGGTCCTCCCTCACAAGCTCAGCATGAGTTGCCAACTGAGCTACACCCATTGGGTGTCAAAGTTAATTCTTTTACTTTCATATCGATGAATTTAGTCCTCAAATTTTAGAAAACATGTGGATTTAGTCATTTTCACTAAAAAAAATTCATCACTTTTTTTTTTTTTTTTTTTTTTTTTTGTGAGGAACTAATCTGCATGTTTTTAAAGTATGAGGAACCAAATTCATCAATATGATAGTACAAGAGCCTTTTTTTTTTTTTTTTTTTTTTAATTGTGAGGAACTAATCTGCATGTTTTTAAAGTATGAGGAACCAAATTCATCAATATGATAGTACAAGAGCCTTGACTGTGTTTAATCAAAAGTGTAGAGACTAAACATACATTTTTTGCAAAATTAATATGCTCATGTTAAAAGTGAATCATATTAATAGCAAACTAGTGGAAAGAGGACTAGATATTGAGAGGCATCCAAGAGATGATGAGGAAAATATGGTGTGGACACTGGAGACGTGTCAAGACCATGGAGGTTGAAGAGGACCGGAGAACTATGAGTTGAAACAATTTAAAGAATTGGCCAAGGCAGGATTGGTTTTTGACCAAACTCAATGGTGTTATTTGTTTCAAGTTGGGAACCAATCTTGTTAGCAAACGCTTTGGTGGTGGTTATTTCACAGCTAGTGATAACCTATGCAAATGTTGGATGAAATAATAAAAAATAATAGGTTATAATGATAGATATTAAATGAAAATCAAATTAACATTTCTAAATATTTCCGTCCAATTTTCGCTGTCTTCTTCCCTTCTCTTTTATTCAGTTTTATGTATTATTTTTCCTTTTATATCCACTAATTATATCTTAATTCCACAAGGCTTAAATATATTTTTAATCCCTGTATGAATAAGCTTTAATTTTGGTCCCTGTATAACTTTTTTTGTGTTTTTCATCTCTTTAAAATTTAGAATTATTGTTTTTAGTCTCTATTATTGTGTAATCATTTTTAATTACTTGTTCATTCATTAAAAGGTTAAGTGACTATATGAGGTGTTATCCACAATTGTTAATGATATCATGTTAGTGTATGACACCTCTAAAAAATTCTATAGGTCTTTAAAATAAACATTATTTATATACATTAAAATCATTGTTAGGGACTAAAAATATTAATTTTAGATTTTAGAGGGATGAAAATCAAAGAAAAAATATTTTATAGGGACCTAAACCAAAATTTACTCATTTTATAAATACAAAAAATATTTTACTAGGACTAAAAACAATGTTTACAAATTTTAGAAGGATGAAAAAAAAATTGTAGGGACCAAAATCAAAATTTAGTCATTTTACGGATAGTAAAAGCATAGCCATTCCACAAATAATGTCTCATTTTCTAGCTGCTGAGAAAAACTAAAACTAGTATCTACAATATAATATATTGATATGGCTTGTTTCTCCTGTTCATCATGCCTTTTTTTACTAGACTGTTCATGAAGGACGTATCTACCAGTTGAAATTGTTTTGTGGCAAGGATTATCCAGAGAATCCCCCATCTGTTAGATTTCAAACAAGGATTAACATGACATGTGTCAATCAAGAAACTGGAGTGGTATGAGCCATTTTTTTGGAGGCTTTATTACATTGGTGTGATTGAAATTGAACTTTTTAATAATCACTAACTTACCAGGTTGAGCCACATTTGTTTCCTATGCTTGCTAATTGGAAACGTGAGCGCACAATGGAAGACATTTTGATTCAATTGAAGAAAGAAATGATGTCTCCACAAAATCGGAAGCTAACTCAACCTCCTGAAGGTGTGTCCATCTTATTTTTATTTGTTTCAATTTGTTTATATATTTTTATATATATTATCAATTGCTATATGGATATAAACATCTTTGATCTTTTTTAGTATTTCTATAATCCATATGGTTACTTTTCAATTGTGATATCTTGATATCTGTTTCTTGTCATTGTCAAAACCTGTAGGTAAAGATGGTCTGATGTATTTTTATATATTGATTCTTGTATATGAAATTACTTTGTCTATTGGTTAAGTGATTGCAAGTTAATTGTTAAGAGATTATTGACAGTATGACTATGTTGAGCTTGTAATAATGCTTTGGAAGTTAGTCATTGTGAATATGTAGGTGCTGAATCATTTGTAAGCTATTCAGAATTTAAAATTGTTTGAATGCTCAAGACTTGCGAGATTTACAGTGATGGCTTGTTCATTCTGCAAGTCGTCTTATAAAATGCTTTTGTTCTTTGTTAAGACCTGAACATGCGATAGTGTGTTATATTTGTACGATAATGCCCACATATTTTTAAGTATTTTTCTTGAATAAGTGTTTGGTACATAAATTATGACTCCTTTGTAAATTTAGTTCATGAAATTAGAGATTTTGTTGACGACTTGACGGGGAACTGGGGAAGAATATAGATCCTTCTCTGCTGTTACATACTCATTTAATTATTAACAATTGTATTTTATTTTTGTGGTACTAAATATGATCAGAAAAAGTGACTGAAGAATTTTTATATTTTCTTCATCATTCGTAGAATAATTGATTAAAATTTGATACTCCGGATCAAATTTACTAATTTCAAAGTTAAGGGGGTTAGTTGAAAAGCTTATGAAAAAAAGGGCTCATTAGTTGAAAAAAGTATAAATGTTTGGGGGTCTAATGAGCCCTTTTTTCAGACATCCATTGGTTGGGTTTCTGCAAGTACTGAGCCCTTTGTTAATAGAGAAACAGACATAAATGCTAAACCCATTTGTCTAAACTGCTACACAACAGAGTCTATTTTATATAGGCTGGTTGAAATAAATACAAATAAATATAGGTGACAATGATCCTATTTACATGATTCAATATGCCTATAAAAGTAGAGTAAATGCTAAGAGATCATTTAGGATATACTAAAATATTTTAAGATATAAAAAGGATATCATCAAATATTTTTCCGATTTCATCATAACATGACAAACCACATATTAGGAGTATGACTAATTGGTTATGATCCAATCATTGAATAAGTGTCATCAAGAAAATATATATCACCTAATTAATAATTTTAATAATAATAATAATAAAATAATTTTTTTGACTGAATATATTTAAAAACAAATATTCTAATGAAACCTAGCAAGTGAAATTACATTTTTTATGTATTCCCTATGGCACTGGGTGGCTTGAAACCTATTGGCAATAATGGTTCCATTATGTGATTTTAAGGAATGAACCTTGAGTCTCATTGTGGGAGTGGTGTTGATAAAACCTACCCAGGCTGTGGTAGAGGGTGTTGTTGGTGTAGTCGTATTCACTGAGGGTAGCATTGGCATCTTGGAACTTAAACGCATCGGGTGTCAAGTAAACATAGACAGATACAACTATTACACATATGAAGAAGAACATTAAGAAATACAATATCCCAGTGTTAGCCATGTTAGAATGCAACAAGATTGTGAACCCGTTTGTTTAAACTACACAATGGAGGCCTCTGTTTTATATAGTTGATTGCAATAAATACAAATAAATATAGGTAATAATGTTCCTATTTGCATGATATGATATGCTCATAATTACAAAGATTCTAATTAAGGAAAGATTGTCATAAAATATTAAAGTGGAATATAGGTAAGAAGATTTATATTTGTGATGAATCTTTGATAGTTTGAGCATACTGAATCATTGTTTTGTATGACTGTAGGCAATGAAGAAGCCAGGATTGATCAGAAGGGGCTGGTGGTGAGATGTTGTATTGTGTGATTGCGTGGAGAATCAAAGAATAATAATAATAATAATGTAAATAACTATATTCAATAGTTCACGGGCGTATGTGTAATGCATTTATAATGTAATTATGGACCATTACCGTCCAAGATATGTAGTGACTATCATGTTTTGTGAATTTTTATTATACTGAGGCTGTTTTAACAGCGGACTCTAATTTCGCAACATCGGATTCTAATCTTTGCTTTTGTGTGAATCCATGTCTGTCCAAAAATTGTGGGATAACATTTGACATGTCATCAAATTGTTCTTCTTTGATACTTAATTTCAATGTTGTGCCGAATTCTTGTTAAATTGTCTCTTTTTTTCACTTGTCTTGTGGTTATGTAAGGTTCCTGTTAATAGCGTGGTATCACTTATTCAAAAAAATTGTCAGAACAAACTTTTGGTAGGATCTAAAACTCCATTATTTTACAAAAGTTGATGCAGTATTGCTTCATATTATGCACCGGATAGTGTATATGTCATAATTTTTTAAGTTTACTGAGGCAAGACAGCCTAAAAATCCTAGCGGTGATTGCAATGTTTATCTGGTGATTAACATCATCCATTTTTGTAAATATCTCTTTATAAATTGCATTCAATATAAATATCAAATTAGACAAGTTGAGACACTCGAAAACGCGTAAATATTCTGTTATTGAAGCTTTAGAGGGTCCAAAATGGCTTTTCATTTTTGAGGGAGGACTTGTGTGTGAACTTGCAAGAGATAAAATATAGCATATGATAGTTTGTAAAATTTTAGATTAAAAGGTATTTAAGATGAAAAAAACTAAATAAAATTTTATTTTATTTAATGTAAGATTACACTATTGGTCCGTTGTTTTTTAGATTTAAATAATGTGAAAAATGCAGGATTTAATGATAATACAAATAAAACTTATTGGTCCATTGGGTTTTCAAGCTCCATGTTCGTCCTCAAGGTGAACAAGGGGGGATTTTGTATAAGGGTGGAAAAGTGGGTTATCCCGCCTAAAACAAGATGAGATATGTTGATCTATCAAAAAAACGAGATGAGATGTGTTAATTCATTAAAGAAAATAGATTGAAAAATGTAATTGATTTCACTTAGTGGTAGATTGGCGGATCGACTTACATTAATGAGTTAGTGGATTAAAAATGATCAAGTTGACCTAATTTTAACCTACCTAGTTTTTTCTAAAATATTTCAATTGAAATATTTTAATATACATTATTACTTTAATCTATATTTTATTATTATTTATAAAATTAATTAAAGATGTTATATTTTTCATGAAAAAGAACAAATTAATATATATTTCTATTAAAAATATAAAAATATATATTTCTATTTAATATAAAATGAAAGTAATTATCTAGAAAAATAAGTTAAACTATAAAATAAAAATATTGATCTAACATAAACATACTATAAGTTTATCTTCTAAAAAAATAAAGTCAACTATGAGTTGACTTACCAAGTTGATAGATTGAAGTTGCTGAAATAGTAGATTTATTTGTCCAACTCTACCTACCAAAATTAGACAAATTAACCGGCTAACCTACCGAGTTCAATCCACGTTATTCCTAATTTTGTTTACACTTCTCTTTGCACTGTTATATTTCTTTTTTATAAAAAAAATACCCCTTCTTGAAAATTGGTTTCTTTTACATATGCAATTTGCAGAAAAATGGTGAAACTCAGAAAACACAATTACTTCTATAACAGTGCCTTGATCCGATAGAAGCAAATTTTACTGTTAACCCAATTGTAATAAAGAAAGCAGCAAGATTCATGATAAATTCATCGTAACCTAAATATAAATAATAAATAGTTAATGATATAGAGTATGTTTGTTTAATTTATTTATTTTTTATAAAAACGTTTCTTTTCAATAAAATTAAATCTTTTTATGTGTTTGTCTATTTTTTTTTTAAATAAATGATCTTTCGTTTTTTTAAGGAAACAATTTCTATCTACTTCTTAAAGAATTATTTTTTTTAAAATATTTATTTTTAAATTTAAATCATAATAACACAATTATTCAATTACCGCCGCTCATATAAAAGGATAGAGAGGATGTGCGTGAAAAGGAGTGAGACGAAAAAAAAAATATATATATATATATATATTTTGGGTATTTCAATTTTTTTTCTCTAAAAAATGTAATAAAAAGGTAGAAAAAAATTTCAATAAAATTTTTGTTCACCTTCCTTATTTTTATTACCGATTCTTTTGTTAAGCCATTCTATTTTACATTCTTCATTTCATAATGTTGTAAAAATAAGCCTTTTGATATTCCTCCTATTTTATATAAAGTAGTAAGGTAAAATTAGGATAACATACAATGGATTGAATCAACTTAAAAATAATTTGAAACTCTATTTGTAATTAATTTGTTAAACTTAGTTTATAAATCAAATGACTTGAATTTGAGCTAAATATTAGGTCTAATAAATAAATAATCTGAATTTGAGTTGTATATAATTTGACTCATTTGATTTATGAATGTTTTTGACATATAAGTATATAATTTATATAACTAATTTTATATTTAATTTTAACTTATTTAATTTTAAAAGAATTTTCAAATTTAGTTATAAGTTAATAATAATAAAAAAGTTAACACTTCAGAATTTCATAATTATGGATTGAGTTTACAATTATTTTATACAAGGTGAAGTAGTTTTTTTATTTATACAGACTGGATGTAATTATGTTTCTTTGAAGTTATGCCTTGTAACCTTACAAAGCTAATAAAATAAGTTATGTTTTGTCTTTTAAAAAAATTAAATAATTATTTTATCTAAAATTTACTATTAAATTAAAACTATGAAATGTATAAAAAGATTAAAAAAACTGACTTCTGGTTTATGTAATTCAAGCTAATGAGTTGAGTTGAGTTGCTAGCAAGTTTGAACTGAACCGAATTCAAGTTGTAAAAAAATGTTCGTGTTGAACTCAAGTTGAGTTGAGTCAATTATTAGCAACTCGAACTAAGTTGAACCAAACTCAACTAAGCTGAACTCATTTTCAACCCTAAGTAAAGGGTACTCTGTGCCTTCATGAAAATCAGGGAAAATGATAATTTTTTTCATGGTAATTTTTACAATTTTAATATCTTGATATTTTTTTAGTCATTATAAATGGTAAAATAAGTATAAAAATTACTTACAACAAATTGAGATAATCCCCTTTATTATCAAAATAGAATATGGATATAAACATACGTAATCCATTTCTTCTTTCTTATTGCATGTTATTTTTAACTATGTGTGTGTTAAATTTTTTTTTTTTTTTGTAACATTGTTTGTTTTGTGTAAATGTCTTTAATTTTGTGAGGGTAAAAAAAATGGTGCCTCAACAATGAGTATCATAAGTGAGATAGAAAAGAAACGCGAAACATCGACAGGCCTAATTTAAAGTAACTCAAACGTGTGTGCGTGTGTGTTAATTTTTTTTTGTAACATTGTTTATTTTGTGTAAATGTCTTTAATTTTGTGAGGGTAAAAAAATGGTGCCTCAAGAATGAGTATCGTAGGTGAGATATAAAAGAGACGCGAAACATCGACAGACCTAATTTAGAGTAACTCAAAATAAATTTTACACCACACACACAAAGTTGAATTAATACCTTTGTCACATCAACATGAATAGACAACATTAAAAAAAAATTAACAACAATGACTAAAAAGATTTAAAAACGATAAGTATAAAAACTAAAAAAATTTACCTTAAATTATAGAGATTAAAAAAGATTGAAAAAAGTAAGTATAAAGATTAAAAAAAAATTAAACTATTGGAACTAAAAGATAAAATAAGTAAACATACAATACTTAAAAAGAAAGTATTTTAACCATATAAGAATAACCATTCCTTTCGATATTTAACTTTTGAAGCATTCTGTTTAACAAATTCCATGGGTAAAATGGTAAAAAAAAATTAGCTACGAATGTTGGCTCTTCGTATTAAAGGCATTAAAAAAAATATTAATTAAGAGGCTAAAAAACTGTTAATAAGATTGCATTTTTAATCGGAGAAAATATTAATTATAGGAGTGGGAAAAATAATCTCGATGTGGGAAGCGTAAAACTCAAAACCACACATCACTTTTCATGATAATTTTAGCTATAGTACTATTTTATAATTTTTTAAATACGTAATAATGATTTACAATTGACTATAATAATGTTAAGTTAAAATAAAATCTTACATCCTCAAATTATAAGTTTTAATGATAACAAACTCAAACGTTTTTTAAGAGAAAAGATTTCTTAGAATTTTTTCATACTCAATCAATTGTATCACGACTTGATAGTAAGACGAAACAATATAGTAATTTTTCAACTTTAAATTTATGTTATTATTTTGTGTTGAAAGTCAAAGAATACTTATGTTAAGTTAGTAGTGACTTGTGAAAGAATATTTTTATCTTTGTAAAAGATAGTGAAACTTGATTAGATTGATCAAGAATTTGACGTAATCTTAGTGATAGAGATGAACCAATATAAAAATATTGTGTTTTTTTTTCCTTAACTTTTCGTCTGCACTCAAAAGGTCTTGTAACTACTTCACTATTTCAAAAAAGTGAAATTTTGATCGACATTATTCAACTCTTCTTCTAGTATTTTTCTTTTCTCCATAATTTGGTATCAGAGCCCAACCTTTGATGGAGTTGAGCGTCTAACTATGCTAAATAAAAAAGATCATACGATGGGTAGTGAAGGTCATTACCTACATAAAGGAGCTTTTCTTACAAGGCCACCAACCTTTAATGGAGAAGACTACCTATATTGGAAGAACAAGATTGAGATGTTCATCAAGTGCATCTAATATCATCTCTAGAAGATCACCATGGGAGGTGATGTTGCATTGACCAAAGTCAAAAAGTGAGTACAAATAAGATGGTTACAACACTCTGCAACTCAACACAAAGACAAGATACACCTTAGCTTACTCTTTGTCAAGAATAGAGTACAAAAAAATTTGTGGCTACAAATTTGCTAAAGAAATATGGAAAGTCATCATGAGGGTATTGAAGATGTTAGGCTCAAAAGAGCTAATACTCTTTAGAGACACTATGAGTTGTTCGTTATGAAGGATAAAAAAATTATTGATGAGATGTTTGGAAGATTCCAAATTATTTTCAATGGGTTAAAATCCTTAGGAATTGAGTTCTCCAAAGCTTAGAACAATCTCAAGATCTTAGATAGTCTTCAAAAGATCTAGGAAACTAAGGCCACCGCTATATCAGAAGCTCATGACCTTTAAACTCTTACACTAGATGGACTCTTAGGAGCCTTGAGAGTTCTTGAAGTTCATCTAAATAACA